CAAACCTATCCAGATTTCGCACCAACGGGATATTCATAATGGGAGAAAGCCAAAGGTTCAACACATTTTATCCACATATCGCCATATGCAAAATCGAGTGCGAAACGGGTTTCCCCCCAAATTCAAATAAGACGAAAATTCAGATCAGTCCAGGGCGGCCATTTTGTTCATTTCACTGTGCACCAAGTTTAATCACAAAACTACACTAAAACTGATAGAATACCCCTCAAATGTGAATACTACGGAGAGCCCATGATATACACGTCTGATACGTACCGCCATCTTGACGCAGAGGCCGAAACTGGTGATGTAATCGGCTGTCAACAACTCGGATGAAATTTCAGCCCGCCGCCCGCGAAAATGTTGTCCTTAGCAACGGCGTTGCTATGGACGGCGGAGTGATACGCTCTGCAAAGAAAACTCGTTCGAAAAGCGTTCGATTCAGTACGTGGCTTTCCGGCTGTGACGTAGTAACTATTTTCCCGCCAACCTTTCAGCGTTGTCATGGTGATGGCCGGCATCACCCCTGACCTCCTGAAGTTCCTGTTGATGACGTCACTCTGCGCGCTGTGGCTGGCGGCGGTCGGGATCCACCTGTTGGCTGAGATATTCCATTCTCCAGGTGGGGGTGTTTTTTTTTATTTTCTGTGGACTTTTTTCTATTTTCTGAAACTTTCATATGTGTGAAACTTTACTTCCACCATCATCTATGATTGCGTCTGAGTTTTATTCTAACTTCGAAATGTGAACGAAGTATTGGAATACGTTTATCAATTTTTAGCCAAAGATTAAGTCTTAAGGCTTAATTTTCTAGATGGCACGAATGCATCAATGCCAGCCTGCAGCCAAGAGGTAACCTCTTCAGCGCAGGCTTCCGCCTCTTTGGAAAATACTTCGGACCAAGGGATGTCTCTAAGTAAGTCACCGGCTTTTTCTATTTCTAAATCAAATCAAATCTTTATTAAATATCAACATGGCAGACGTGCCGAAGTACTTCGGGCACGTCTGAATTGCATTGACATTTTACAATTATACAACATACAAACATCATCACAATAGATTAAAAACATCATCGTCATTTAAAAATCAACATCAAGAACACGTAGGTTAAAATAGTACAATTTCAGTTTAAAATACAATATATACATATGCATGTCCAATTCACATCACAAGTCTTTTACGGCTCTCACAATGAAGGAGTTTTTGTGTCTGTCCGATCGGCTTAATGGGAGCTTAAACTGATTGCTGTTCTTCCTAAGATTATATACAGTGTTCTCTCTTGGTGGGATAAAGTCATTTCAGGGGTTGGTGGGTCTTGTAGAATCCGTTTTAGTTCTCTCAGTGATGCCTACCTCCTCCTGGACTCGAGAGTGGGCAAGTATCCATGGGGAACCCCGCAAATCCTGAGGCACAGCTTCTGAACTCTTTCCACCTCGTCTGACAGACAACGCTTCTATTTTGTGAAACTTTTGTGTGTGTGAAACTTTGCTTCCTTCGTCATGTATAATTGTGTCTTATTCATATTCTGTGTTTGAAAGTATTAGAATATTTTAGATAATTATTAATAATTTTGATCCAACCATTAAGTCTTACGGACTGCATGTCTTAGGCTGCCACTTTTTAATTTTTTTTACAAGTTTAATAAAAGTTTACAAAAATTGCCCGAATTACGTCCTCGTTACATAATTCATAAATCATTGTACTCATAAAAAATTTTACATTACAAGTAACGTTACACGCAGAATATCTTAAAAAAAACAGTATCTCAATTACAATCTAAATCGATCCATAAAAGCAAAGCGAACACACTTAGCATTACATATATACAAGCTAATTACTGTGTTTCAAGTGTTGGCCTGTTGTTGTACAACCGGATAGCACAGTGTAAGAAGGAATTGCGCACTCTTTCGGGGCAAAGCTTGAAAGCCTTGTTGGAAAACATCTGCCTAGTCCGAGATACGATTGACAATATTGCACTTTTATTACGTCTTCCATAGTCTAAAAAAGAGAAGTCAAACCCCATAGACATAGTTTTAGACATAGCTATAGCTCTAGACAACTACCTTTTATCATGTAGATTTTAGTTATTACTCCGTGAAGGAGGTCAGGACCTCCGGACGGAGTGTTGTGATCGACTGATTTTTCGTGTTCGCAGTCAAAACACTGGGTTCTCTTTGTGTAATCGGCACGCAATTTTATACGCCGTCTGCGGGCATGCCCGTGTTGATGCACGAATGTGTATTTTTGCCGTTGCTGCTTTCGCGGTCAATGTAATATTGCAGACGCACCCCTAC